TTAAACAATTTTTCACAAATATTTTTTTGCTGCTGACAGATGCTTAAAGTAAATTAAAGATATTTATGCAAATAATATTTTGTAATTATCTGTTTAATCAGTTTTAATATTTTTGTGCATCTATTAGATATTAGAAGAACATGAAATATAATTATTAGTTTCACTCGCCTCATCATTACAGATAATTTGTTGTGTGAGTTTCAAGAAATGTAGCATGAAAATTGGCTTTCACCTATTTTGGACCAATGTAAAAAATACTTAAAATCTGTAACACAGTGTATAAACTGTTTTGTTCTTTGAAATGTTCAAATTTATAGCTTTAGTAATTGAACAACATTAGTGTGGAAAAACCAAACTTACAAATGAACTATTGCCGTCTAATAATCTGTTAGTTGAGAAAAAGGAAAAAAAACATGCAGTTGCAGAATTCTTTTATTAATTTCCTTTATACCAAAAAAGCTGTTTTTCTGTATGCACTATACAGAACTTAAATGACCATTAAAACAATTAAGTTAAATAACATGAAAATAAGTTAAACCCTGAAACGTATTACTGGCATTGCAGTGTCAACGCATCAACAATTTTTGATTCAAAGAAAAAAAGCAGAGGAAGTTGCAAATTGTATCAATTACAGCTTGCTAACAAATACCAAAAAAAAATATATATATATATGAAATAGTTTTAATTTTCTAATTATAAATGGTAAGAATAGACAATACAAAAATATTATAGTTAACTGTCAAATGAAACCTTAACAGAGCTGTCCGTAAATGAGAAGAGCCGTAGTCGATGATCAGTGTGGATAAACTAGAGGAGTTAAAATGGTGAAGTACTCTTGAAGGTGCGAACCAACTGGTTTCACCAGCAACAACAACAGCACCAAAAAAAATACACTTCAAATAGTTTAGACTAGATAAACTAAGGCTACTTGACATGTTGGTCAATTCTATCAGCATTGTACTTTTAGGTCTTCCGACGGTTTAAACTAGGCTTTGCTCACGACTTAACTACATCATTTACAACGTACACTGCAAAAAAAAGAACTCGGAAAAAACACTTATCTATTAATACCTAGCTGTAGAAGAAAAAAACAAGAAAGTTTGAAAAAATGCTTATTAAATTCCAATTTTTGGATGAAGCACTTGACAGTGTTGTGATTGGATTAGCAGTGTTATCCTTATCAAAGTCAAAAAATTCATAACTGTATGTCAACGAAACTGAAATCACTGTTGACACTGTTACACCGTTGTTTTACTGTAACAGATGTAACTGTCTGTTCATAGAAAAACCAAGAAAATGTGAAACTTTTTTACTCTTTATAATGAATGTTCAATAACTGTGAGTCAAGAATGTTACTCGTCAATTGCCTTGACGTTAACAGTATTCTGCTTGCTGATTCTTAATCATCTGAAGTAATGATTCTTACAACAACGTTTAGTTGGTGATTAATTTTGTTGGCTTGACTAATTTTCAGTTATTATAATTGATTTAAGACGACTGTAAAAGGCTGTTAACAGGAAAATATTGCTCAAAAGAAAAAGTAACATTTTTTTGTTTGGAGCTGGGAACTGCTAATAATTTTCAATGATTTTTCACGTTTTTTCTTTTCGTTTTTTATTTGTTTAAGAAAAATGACTGAAGTAAAGAAACTACTTACTTCAATGGCTTTTCTGTGCACTTAATAGACGTATTTTAGTTGTTCAGTGTTGTCAACAAATTATGCACTGCACTGTGTCATAATATTTAATCATTTAGACAAGATGAAACAACAAAAAATTATAGCTTGTAAAAATTCACAAGTAAAATATATATGCTGAAATAATTTCAGTGAATATCACCATTTATATGGTTCTATTATCACATTTGATGCACTACATTTGCAGTCATTTGATTAAATTGAATTGACGTAAAAGTTATTTCAATTTTTTCTCCATTTTTTCCTTTCCTGTAAATTTGTATCCCGATAAAGAAGTGTGATGTCAAAAAGTTTTTTTTCATGACTTTTTTGACGACATCAATTGAGTAGTGTTCAGAAATTGATTTACATTGCCTTCCTTTTTTTTTTCTTTCACTAGTTTGTTTGCTCCTTCTTTTCCCTCATTTATTGTTATTCTAATAACGATGAAATTGGGAAGGAGACAGCCGAGAAGAAAAAAAAATTTTCGTTTTCTTTTTTGTAAACTTAACCAGTAACTGGTTCGGGTAACCGAAGTACACCATCAACAGCATCGGCAGCGAAGGAAGAAGAACTTTTCATTTTCAACTAATGAATAAACAGTGATCAGAAAGGAGATTGCGTCATGCATTTTTCAACGATGTCAAAGACAGCAGTAACAACCAACAAAACCGGTCTTCAGATAGAATCGACGTTTCAACTTTGCTCGTTGTCGGCTTCACAATGGACTACTCGGACATCGAACAGACATTCTCCAATGTATCAAGTCCAGAAGCACCAAATTTGGATCCTCAGTTCGTTATTAAACATAATTTGTCGGCTGAAATATATCAGGTTAATATCTAAGCAACTTATTTTATTGTTTGTTTTATCAAGAAAAGAAATTCTCGTTTTGTCTAGCATTCATATTTACTCAAAAATCAAGCAAGATTATTTAAAACAAGTAGAAAAGTAAAAATTGGAACACAACTGAATTTTTTTCCTTTTTTGAAATTTTTCTATTTAATAAAACTACAATAAATTTCAACTGTTACTAGTCATTATTATTTTCGAATATTAAAACCAATCAAAATCATTACAGAACAAAATTATCAAATTTTTAGTCAACTGTACCAGCTTTTTGGACATTTCTTCATTTTCTTTTTTGTTTTTTTAGCTTTTCAAAGATGATGTCGACTTGTTGCTTTCTGGAAAAGTCTCAAGTGCAGAAACCACAAAGTTAGTTACGGTAACGGTTTTGTTTTTTTCAGGTGACTGTTGAGATTTTTTTGCTCAGTTTTTCTTTTGGCTTTTCGTTTTAGAATGTAAGTACTACCGTTTTTGTCGCTCTATTTAAAGGGTTTCTACAATTGGTTTTTTTGTCTTCAAAACACTTATTTTTTCATTATAAAAATATACTAAAAAATAAAATAAAACTGGTCAATTTATTTACTCAAATCAAAAATTGTAATTGTTAAACTAAACAGAAAAAAAAAGCTAAATATTTTTAATTTTTTCGGAATTAGGCGACTTAAATAAAATTTAGAAAGATAAAAAATAAAAAAATCAGAAAAAACACTAATTTTTTTGGCAGCGGTGAGTTGTTTGGTTTGAAACCAAGAAGAAAACCAAAGTTATGTTGATCCAAAGTACTTGAAAAGCTATGCTTGATAGCATAATGTGGTTGTTAGAGAAAGGTGATATGTGATATGTGAAAAAATAGATTTGTGAAAAAGCTGTTTTTAGATTAGATTTTACTGATAGGAATTTCAGAAACAATATTGTTGAACATCAATTTTGTCTGTTTCTTATTAAATTGTCAAAATGTCACTTAGCTTTGCAGTAACTCTCGTTTCCTTTTTTTAAAATAGTTAATCAGTTAATCAGTTGATTAGTTGATCGTCTGAATTTCAGACAAATAATTAGTCGGTATTTTTTTGGTTAATAATTTACAGATGTAAAAAAAAAGTAGAGAAAGAAAAATAAAGTTAACAAACTGTCTTTTTCCAGCAAATATTGAATACAGCAACAGAGTTATGCAAAGCACTTGATGATGAAAAACAATATTTGATGGGCGATGTACTTTATAATTGGGCTGTACGACAGCAGAAGTTAAGTATCGGTACCTTGTGGACACAACAGATACACTATACACTACTGGACACTATGCATCAACAGTATGTACTTCCACTGTATATCTTTGTTGCTCAGCTCTTTAAACCTCTTTTTTTTAGCGGACATTACCGAAAAAAAAAGAGTATAAAACGATAAAGCAATACAATATATGTAGAAATTATTTTTAGCACTTTTTTGCTTTTCATATTGTGTTTAAAAAAACCGTTTTTTTCATTAAGAAAGTCGTTCGTATATAATGTGTACTCTTATAGCACAAATTTGCACTTTCTTAGTGCTTTTAATCATCAGCCAGAAGAAAAGAAAAATGTTGCAGTTAGAAGAGTATAAGCAGATTTAGGCTTAAAAAAATTAATTTGATATCATTCTACTTGGTCACATATTCTTATATGTCGTTTTTTGAAATGACCAAGTCATTTTTTTTTTCAGTTTAGTATCGCTCAACCGTTATTTGTTGACTTTTTATTTCGCCTACTGATAGCTGTTCCTTTCTTGGTTTCTTTTTTTCAACTAGTTCTTTTCAACCTAAAATTGTGGTCAAGTTTCGTCTGCTTAATCTGCTTTCTTTCTTTTTTTTTGACAACCTTTTTAGACTAAAACTATTAATTTTACAATTTTTTAACCAAAAAAAAACATTTATAAATGCACAAACAAACACAGACAATGATATATAGAAGAAAATATGAAAAAGTAATGGCAAAAACAACAGGCAACAACCAGTTTTTGGGAAAGTGTCAATTGCTGTTCAAGTCTAAGACAATATTTGACTGTTTTTGGTTCACAATCACTTTTTACATCTTCAAAAAAAAAAAAATTTTTTTTCTTGAAATGTAATACTACATTAATGTAAAAATTCTCACAGACAATTTTTCATAAATTCGATGGATTATAACTGTTGCAATCTCAAAAAAAAAAGCAAAGGAAAAAAA